TTTTTTTTTTTTTTTTTTTTTTTTTTGTCAGCCTGGTTTGGAAACCAAGATCCAAGTGCTGTGCACTCTTGGTCACATCATTTAAGCTCTTGCTACAGTTTCAACACCTGTCAATGATGGCTGTGCTTCTCTAGGGAGGAGCACTAGAGATGCAGTTTGGTTGGTCCGTGCACCAGGCCCTGGTTTCATTTCCAGCACAGTGTAAAGCTAAGCTCGTAATCCCAGCACTCAGAACATGGAGGCAAGGGGATCAAAATTCATTCTCTGGTACAATAGTGTGAGGGGACCAGGCATGGTGGGGCATGCCTTTAATTATAGCACTCCAGAGCAGAGACAGTAGGAGCCCTGTGTCTACAGCCTGGGCTACATAGAGAGTACCTGTTCCGTAGAAAGAATTGAAACAATGTGCTGGGCCTGCACCTCCAGCTACACCAGAGTCCTCTCTTTCCTTTCTGTTATGCAACGAGACCTCACTAACTTGCCCAGACTTACTTTACAGCCCAAGCAGACACTGAATTTAGCAGCCCTCCTACCTTAGGGCCCTGTTTTGAGGAAGAAAAAGCTAATGTGTTGGAGATCATCCTGGGGTATATGAGACCATGCCTGATGAGGGCACTGGAGAGGCAGCTCAGTGCTTAGGAAGACTTGCTGCCCTTCTAGAGGACCCAGTTCCATTACCCATGCCAGTGACCGCCACTCACACACCAGCTGTGACTTCAGCTCCAGGGGATCCAGCAGCCTCTTCTACTTGTGCAGACTGCATACACATAGCATACACACATACAAGTTATTTTTTTGAAGATGGAGCTGGTGATTGCCTTCCTAGGTTGTTGTGAGGATTGTGCCAATTCACACATAAAAGGCAGCAGTTTCCAACTCAGGGTGGTTTGTTTGCTTGTTTGTTTGTTTTTTAAGAGATTTATTTATTGTGAATACAGTGCTCTGCCTGGAACAGCAGCCAGTGCTCTTAACTGACACTCCTTTTTGTTTCTTTGGTGTGTGTTTGCTGGGAATTGAACCGACATGCTAGGCAAAGTACCCTCAGCTCAAGCTACATCCTAGTCCTCTCTTGCCTTTTTGTATGAGACAGGACATCACTAAATTGTCCAGGTTAGCTCTGTAGCCCAGGCTGACGCTGATCTTAACAGTCCCTCTGCCTTAAGTTCCTGGGTAGCTTGGGTGACAGGTTTTCATAGACTGACTGGTGTTGACACATGGAGGCCGTTTGGTGTGTTTGCAGTCAACGAAGGTGAAGGGAAGGGGCTCGGTATGTTGAGGTCAGAGGACAACCTTGTGAACTCGGTTGTCTCTTCCTACTTTTGTGTGGGTTGATGAGACACAGGCTGTCCGGCTTGGTGACAACCACCTTTACGTGCTGAGCTATCTCCACAACCCTGAACACAAGCATCCTTTCCTTTTCTCTTTCTTTCTTTTTTAAGTTTCATTTATTAAATGTATAGTGTTCTGGGCACCAGATCTCATTACAGATGGGTGTGAGCCACCATGTGGTTACTGGGAGTTGAACTCAGGACCTCCTGAAGAGCAGTTAGTGCTCTTAACCTCTGAGCCATCTCTCCAGCCCACAAACTTTCTTTTTTAAAAAAAAAGAAAAAAAAGATTTATTTATTATGTATAGTGTTCAGCCTCAATGTATGCCTGCAGGCCAGAAGAGGGGACCATATCTCATTACAGATGGTTGTCAGCTGCCATGTGATTGCTGGGAACTGAACTCAGGACCTCTTGTATTGAGGAGATCAGGAGTGCTCTTAACCTCTGAGCCATCTCTCCAGCCCCCCACAAACTTTCTTTAAATTTTTTTTTTTTAATTTACTTATTTATTGAGAGTGTGTGTATCCATGCTATGGTATGCATGAGGAGGTCAGAGGACAACTTCTGAGAGGCAATTGGTTCTTTCCTTCTGTAGGTCCTGGGGATTGAACTTGGGATCAGGCTTGACCACAGGTGCCTTTACCTGCTAAACCATTTCTCTGACCCACAATTCTATTAATTCATTCATTCTTTCTTTCCTTTCTTTTTTTTTTTTTTTTGGCTTTGTTCTTTCGATACACAGTTTCTCTGTGTAACATCTCTGACTATCCTGGAACTTAATCTGGAGACCAGGCTGGCCTGGAACTCACAGAGATCCGCCTGCCTCTGTCTCCCTAATGCTGGGATTATAAAGACGTGTGCCACCACCACCCAGCAGTCCTCACAGTCTTGCTCCAAGTAAGAGCTATAGAGGCGCTTAGAAGCAGGGGTGCTGTGACCTGGAGAGGTGAAGGTTCTTACCTTCTGTTGCTCAGCAAGGACAGTGAAATAGGGCTCAGTCTGTAATCCCAGTACTCAATTCTTGGGGTGAAAATTAAGAATGAAAAATAAACTCGAGCAAAAGGAGAAGCAGAGCTCCTGGGACTCTGATGGCAGTTCCACCGTTGTGTATGTTGTGATCCCAGGTAGTAGCGTGTCAGGGAGGTTCCCAGAGTTTATGTCCTTGGGGTTCTGATAGCCTGTGTCTTGTTCCTTTTGTGCCCAACTTTCAGGGTCATGGGGTACTGGAGATGCCCTCAGGCACTGGGAAGACAGTATCCTTGCTGGCACTGATAGTGGCTTACCAGAGGGTAAGTGACCGTCCTGAGTGTCCAGACTGGGGAGTGGGGAAGGGCTGCATGGGGCTGAGCCGATTGTCACCCACAGGCTTTTCCACTGGAGGTGACCAAACTTATCTACTGCTCACGGACTGTGCCAGAGATTGAGAAGGTGTGCAGTGTGGACGAACCCCATGCTCTGTCCCCTCCCCTGGGCCTTGGTGATCCCCAGTTGCTGCCCTCACTGGCCTGCTGGGCAGGGGCTTATGCATGTCCTGAGGGCCCCACCCAATGTTCCTATGTCTAAGCAGGTCATAGAAGAGCTTCGCAAGCTGCTCAATTTCTATGAGCAGCAGGAAGGGGAGAAGCTGCCGTTCTTAGGACTGGCTCTGAGCTCGAGAAAGAACCTGTGCATTCATCCCGAGGTGAGACCTGGGCCTCACCCTCAGTCCTGGGCTCCCCAGTCCAAGCCCCAGAGACAACCCTTTGCCAGTGTGAGGTAGCCACCAATGGAACACCTCTTTCAGTTGTTAGGTCCTGGCTCATTCGAGCTCAGAAACTGCTTGAGTGTCACATTCAGAATTTCACATTGGACCTATGGGACAGGTCAGAGTCTATGGGAGCTTAAGTTAATTACAGATGGTTGTGAGCCAATGTGTGGTTGGTGAGAATTGAACTCAGAACCTCTAGAAGAGCATCCAGTGCTCTTAACCTCTGAGCCATCTCTCCAGCCCTGTCTAGCTTGATTTCTAGAGAAACTTAGGATTTTAATTTTTAAGCACAACACACACACACACATACACATATTGTGTGTGTATGTGTGTGCGTGCTGGGAAGTGGGAGTATATGCCCAGTGCACATGTATGGAGCTCAGAGGACAACTTGTGCAAGTCTGTTCTGTTCTCTTCACTGTGTGAATCCCAAGGATTGAAATCAGGTTGTCAGGCCCACTGAGCCATCCAGCTGGCCCTCTGGTTGGTTGTACTGTGCTATAGATTGCCCCTGGGGCTTTGTGTGTGCTCTCGCAAGCCCTCTGCCTACCATTGAGCTATGCTCCCAGCTCCCTTTCACGTTTTATTGTGAGGTCGGCCCTTGGTTTGAACCCAGGCTTCCTGAGTGTGCAGTCCTCCTGCTTCAGCTGTCTTAGTAACTACTGGGATTGCCATGCCCAGCTCTGGGGCAGTTTTGAACCTTAGCAGTGGTCCCACTCTGACATTTCTGCAGGAAGTGCTTTTAACTAATAGTAGATCAGGTCTAGTTGCCCAGAAACCCCAGCTGACATGCCACTCCAGGTGTCCGAGTTTGGAGGACTGGGTTGGCATAACTCTCGTGACTATCTCCTGACTCTGTTGTAAGTTGTCCCCTGAACCCTCAGGTGACACCACTGCGCTTTGGGAAGGACGTGGATGGCAAGTGCCACAGCCTCACAGCCTCATATGTGCGTGCCCAATACCAGCAGGATGCCAGCCTGCCTCACTGCCGCTTCTATGAGGTATAGGGAAGGGCCCGGGCCAGGGAGGATAGAGACTCACTGAACAGCAGCTGGCCCTGACCCTGCCATCCTCTGGCCTTGCTCCAGGAATTTGATACCCATGGACGTCAGGTGCCTCTCTCTGCTGGCATCTACAACCTGGATGACCTGAAGGCCCTAGGGCAGCGGCAGGGCTGGTGCCCCTACTTCCTGGCTCGATACTCGGTGAAGAGTTGTTTTGTTCTATTCTGAGGCAGGATCTCATTTGTAGCCCAGGCTGGCCTCAAACTTGGAATAACTCTACCTCGGGTTCTCAGATGTGGGGGGTCATAGACATGGGACTGTGCCTGCCTGTCTATCAGCTCATCTGTCTGCTTGCGTCTGTTGTCCTGATGCCTGGGCCATCTGTCTCCATCCTACTTCCTCTGTTTATGCCTTGTCTGGGTGGTCCTGTCTATCTGTCCATCCATCTGCTGTGAACCTGGGAAGAAGTGGTATGGGGCGGGGCAGCAGGGCCCAGGGCAACCTTTCCCTCCATATGCCCAGATCCTGCATGCCAACGTGGTGGTTTACAGCTACCACTACCTCCTGGACCCCAAGATTGCGGACCTGGTGTCCAAAGAGCTGGCTCGCAAGGCTGTTGTGGTCTTCGATGAAGCCCACAACATCGGTGAGGAGAGTGCCAGGGTGTGCAGACAGTGGCAGCCCCTCTGCCCCGCCCCCAAGCCTGGCTGAGCCCAACTCTCTCTGCTTTCCTCCCTAGACAATGTCTGCATTGATTCCATGAGTGTCAATCTCACCCGCAGAACTCTGGACCGCTGCCAGAGCAACTTAGACACCCTGCAGAAGACCGTGCTCAGGTGCCCGCTCTGCTCCTGCTCCGTATGCTGTGTCTGCCTTAGTGACCCTAGACACCTGCCCCATTCCAGCTCCTGTCCCGTGTCCCCATCAGGATCAAGGAGACAGATGAGCAGCGGCTGCGGGACGAGTACCGGCGCCTGGTGGAGGGGCTGCGGGAGGCCAGTGCAGCACGGGAGACAGATGCCCACCTAGCCAACCCTGTGCTGCCCGACGAGGTGCTGCAGGGTGAGCCATGACCCACCCACCTCCGCCCCTCATAACGCCCCTCAGTCATTCATACTCATACAGAATGAGTCAGTTCTGTACCAGCTGACTCATTGTCCCTGCAGAGGCGGTGCCAGGCTCCATCCGCACTGCGGAGCACTTTCTGGGCTTCCTGCGGCGGCTGCTGGAGTATGTCAAGTGGCGGCTGCGGGTGCAGCATGTGGTGCAGGAGAGTCCACCCGCCTTCCTGAGCGGCCTGGCCCAGCGCGTGTGCATCCAGCGCAAGCCCCTCAGGTGAGGCCCGCAGTGGGACTATAGGTCCAGACCGTGCGCTGGTGATAGGGGTCAGGTCAGAGCTGGGTGTGGAGGGAGTCCGTGGAGCCCTGAGGTCAGTTATTCTTGACAGTGAACACTGCAGGACTACCTGGTGCTTCTGCAGCTGTGTGTCCCTGTGTGTGTAGAGGGGCAGGTGGAGGAGTTACAGTCTCTGTGAGCCTGGGAAAAGTGTGTGCGGCTGTTTGTCTTTGAGCATGGGGGTCCATGATACTGGCTGAGGAGTGTGGCAGGACAGAAGCGGAGTGACTATTGGCCATGGGTCTTGCTTGACAAGAATTTGCATACAGGCGGTGAACATGTGTACGTGGTGGTGTTGTGTGCCATCCTGGAGTGGTAGCTCTGGGTATCTTGCACAGTGTGGGGACAGGCTGGCCACAAACGATGCTCAGGTGTCCAGGGAAACAGGTGGCTTCCCTCTCTCGACCCCATCGCTTCTCAGGTTCTGTGCTGAGCGCCTGCGGTCCCTGCTGCACACCTTGGAGATTGCTGACCTGGCCGACTTCTCCCCGCTCACACTCCTTGCTAACTTCGCCACTCTTGTCAGCACTTATGCCAAGGGTAAGTTCCCCTCTTGCCTCTGCTGGGCCCTGACAGGACGATGTGGGGGCCCAGCCAAGTTGGGTGGGGTATTAGAGGTTCTGGGAATTTGAGCTATTTTGAGGGCCCTGGGGTGCCATGCAATGTTCCTGAGTGAGTGAGCCCCATGTCCAGATCCACACGTCCTTCTGACTGCAGAGTGGAGAAAGCGGGTGGGCAGTGGTGTGACACGGGCCAGGGGGTGCTGTGGGGTCAGCTCCCCTTCAACTGGGTGAGGAGTCCTCGTGTGTGATGAGGGTGCTGGGAGCCATAGCAGGCTCTAACAAGGGATGTACGTGGTAAGGTTGTTGTTTACAAGGTTCCCCTAGTAGAGAGGTGGGGCCATAGACCCTGGGGACAGGAAAAGAGGCTTAGGGGGAGCTATGGAAAGAAGAGGCCAGGGTGTAGAAGCATGGCACTGGGCATGAAGACTTTGAGGGAAAGGATGTAAGCTGATACACAGAGGCAGAGGGGGACATTCCTGGTTTGTTTGGTTTTTTAGTTTTTAGTTTTTTTTGTTTGTTTGTTGTTTGTTTTTTGGGATTAAAGACGTGCATTACCACTGCTCAGCCAGAGGGGGACATTCTGGAGGCTTTTGCTTGGTGTCCATGTGCCGCCCTGCCCCCAGCTTTACACTGAGTTTTTAAGCTTATCCCTAGGGATTACTACTGTAGCCAGGAAACCAGGTCAGCTGGCATCCTGCAGCTGGACCAGCCTCCGAAGGATACCCCGCCATCAGCACCACCCCAGGGCTATTGGCAGCTGTCTGCTTCCTTCTGCTTTCAGCCCTCACTGAGCCCCTTCTCTTGGCCTTCACTGTTCTCCCTGCCCCCTCCTACCAATACTCCACATTCTCGCTTGAAACCTCCTTCCCTGCACCCCCCATCATCTCCCCATCCCCTTAGCTCTCAGAAAATCACCACCGCCCACCCCTTGCTGGGCCTGCCCCTTCCTCTGTCACAGCGGAGTCTCTGTTCACTGGCTCCCCAGGGGAAGGGGAGCCCTTGTGGGTGAGACCGAGGCTGTGTTGGTCACTGCTGTGTCCTCACACAATACGACACAGGACCTGATCATTTCTTGCCAAGTGAAACAATCTGTGAATGTGATCATTTGTTCAGTCAACAAAGGCCGGCCCTGTGGAAACAGTAGGGTCTACCAGAGCCACCGCTCCACCATCCACCACCACCCCCACACACACACATAGCCTGGGGGCTAGGAGCAAAGATCAGTCCAGAAGGAGATACTAGGAAGTGTGGCAGTGCTTGGAGGAGGAGCAGCACTGGCCACCCAGGGTGCCTCTGGAGCAAGGACTCAAAGGACCCAGTGGGCCTGGGGGATGGAGCTGACACGGCCGCTGGGAGCAAGGGTACCCTGCAGAGTCCACGGGCACATTTCTGGTTATGGGAGGAGGGACTTGAGGTTCCACAGTGTCTTCCTGGCTGCAGTGTGGGGAGCAGGGATGGGTGAGGCGAGGGGAGCAGAGCTGCCTGGGAAAGGGTGGTCCTGACCTCCCTGCAGGAATTGCAGGGAAGCCCTGGCTCACGCTGCTTCCACATCTGAGCATTGGCACAGCCCAGTCATGGTCTGGCCGTGCAGAGGAGTGGGCAGGCTGTGGCTGTCGTGCATTCTGGTGCCTGGTTCTGCACTTGGATGGTGAGCGTCCGGGGTGACCACAAGACTCACCAGCCTCCTTCTCTACCAGGTTTTACCATTATCATCGAGCCCTTTGACGACAGGACCCCCACCATCGCCAACCCCATCCTGCACTTCAGGTGAGATGCTACCCTGTGTGGATGGGACAGGCCTTGGCCCCCACCCTCTGCCCTGTGTGACTGCTGTGTTGTCCCACAGTTGTATGGACGCCTCCTTGGCCATCAAACCTGTGTTTGAACGCTTTCAGTCTGTCATCATCACCTCTGGGGTAAGGACTCCGTGCTGTTGCTCCATGGGGGTCCTGGTTCCTGCCCCATCCTGCTGAGGTCTCCCTTGCTGTCTGTTGTAGACACTGTCCCCACTGGACATCTACCCCAAGATCCTGGACTTCCACCCTGTCACAATGGCAACCTTCACCATGACGCTGGCCCGAGTCTGCCTCTGCCCAATGGTGAGTGAGTGAGACAGGTGGGGGGCAGCCAGCTGCTCAGCTGGGGCTCAGTGGCGCCTGGGAGGGCTTCTTCCCAACAACCTGGGCTGTAGTGCTTAGGCACCCATGCAAAGTATACACTGGGCAGTGCAGGCCTGGTGCTTGGTCATCATTCTGGTCAGAGTGAGTTTGCTATGTGCCATCTGGCTGTGACTTGGGTAATGCGCCTCTCTGAAGCCTGGGGCAGGGCTGTGTCCTCTCACCTCCTGGCCTCTGCCTTGGAGTTTAGAGCCCTGCAAGGTGCTACGCGTGTTCGCCCCACAGTTCGTGCGTCACATGCAGCCAACTGTGACTGGGGTGCTGCCTGGCACAGAATCAGACACTTTAACCCTTATGCAAGGTGTGTAGCCCAATTGCATGCTTGCGGAGCACGAACTGTGTGGAGGGCCGCGCCAGAAGGACAAGCCTGTCTGCAGGCCTCTCTTAGCAGCAGGGTTAGGCGGCTGTGTTCAGAGCTGTGGGCTTTGGGAACATAACCTCTGGCCACCATCACTGTCATGGTGAACTGGGGAGGGTTGCCAATGGGTGTGTGCTGTGGTGACCTGTGTTCTGGAACTACCTAAGGCTGAAGTGTAGCTTTGCTTAGAAACACAGAGGTCCCTTCCCTGGGGCTTGTTGCTGTGTGGCTGTAGGCCAGTAACTCACGGCTGAGCTCCAGGCATTTGCCCAAGCAGAAGCAACCATAGGCTTAGGGTCATCTAATCCACTGTCTGCATGAGCCTTTCTTGAGCCCGGGCCTTATTTCATATAGTGCTAGCCTAGCACACAGCAGGCCTTGGGGTCCATGCCCAGCAGTACATACACGAGGTGTGGTGAAGCCGGCCTGTGAAGCTTGGGAAGTGGGCAGGAGGACCAGGAGTTCAGGATCACCTTGGTTATACAGAACTTAGAGGTTGGGGAACAGCCTTCATGGGCTTGGGAGGATGGGTAGCCTCAGTGAGGCTCCTAGTCTAAAGCCAGCCTGGGCTACATGAGACACTGAAAAGGGCCGTTTGGCTGCCGCGTGTGTCACAAAATCTTCACTCTGACTCTCCAGATCATTGGCCGTGGTAATGACCAGGTGGCCATCAGCTCCAAATTTGAGACCAGGGAAGATATTGGTGAGTCACCTGTGGGCTTGGTTGGGGTAGGTCTCGGGTGGGTGAGGGGTGCTGCCATACCAGGACCCCAGCCCCTGTGGCTAACACAGACCTTCTTCCTACCCTCAGCAGGCTCACTGTGGGTTGGGCTTCCCATGGGTCTCTGCACCACCAGGCACATTACTGAGGCTCAACACATAGCACAGGGCCCTTGGGACATTAGGCCCTGGAAGAAACACAGCTACTTCTATAGGTTTCTTGTGCTGTGACTTGTCATATGGCCTTGATGAACCTCAGGGGTGGCAGACAGCCCTCTAATAGCCTTGGGAAGAGGAGTCGGGGATATAGGTCTGTAGCCTCAGTGGGCACCAGGAATGGATTCACTCCATCCCCCTCTCCCTAGCTGTAATCCGCAACTATGGCAACCTGCTGCTGGAGATGTCTGCTGTGGTCCCCGACGGCATTGTGGCCTTCTTTACCAGCTACCAATACATGGAAAGCACTGTGGCCTCCTGGTATGAGCAGGTAGGTGCGCGAAGCCACCGCTGCCCAAACCCTCAGCTTTGCTCTTGCTGTGGGCTTCAGTCCTCATGTTTCCACTGGTGACACGTGGCACAGGACAGGACAGTGGTACTACCAGCACCCCACCCGTTCCCACCAGAAGCCTACAGGATCTTCAGTGCTTCCCTCCACCAGAGGGGCCACCCACCCCACCTCTGGGGCACGCATGCTGCAGACTAAGTAGGCCTGGGGCCAGTGCGGGGAGAAGCAGGGTCTCTGGGGAGTTAGGCTGGACCAGAACTCCTGTTCAGGAGCTCTCCTAAGTGTGTGGATGAGGCCGTGGGAATTCTGGTCCCCCAGGGGTACAGGGCCTGTTGGCCTTCTGTCTTGTGACTGCATTGAGCCCTGCTCTCAGGCCTAGGTTTGAACAGGCACTGTAGACTGTGGCTGTGGCTTGGGTTTAGTTCAGTGGGAGAGCAAGTGTGTAGGCCGCTGTTGCAGTCGATCCCTAACACTGAAGAAAAACAATAGAGATTTGATGGCCTGGGGTCTTGAGGTTGTAGGTTCTTAACTATGCTCGGAGGCACCTTAGACTCATCTTCTGAACTTGGTGAGATAGGGTGGAGGTGTATTTTTCATAAAGAGCTCTCTCACTGAGCTGCATGGGTAACTTGACTGGTGCTCTGGACCCTGTGATCTGTCCTGGGCAGCCTGACTTTTGCCTCAGTCCCTTAGCATTGCAGTGACAGATACTAACTTTCAGGATAACCCTGGTTGGTCCTGCTTCCTCCAGTAGCTGCTCTGGGCCCTGTGCCCACCTTCTTGGTTGGTTATCGGCTCCCACTTTGGGCTGCCAAAGAGGTTGGACATCTGGGGCTCCAGAGAGGGATCTCCATGGGAAGCCACAGCAGTGGGCTGAAACAGGATGCTTGGCCCTGTGGCCTGACCTGCCTGTCACCCCCAGGGCATCCTTGAGAACATCCAGAGGAACAAGCTGCTCTTCATTGAGACCCAGGATGGGGCAGAGACCAGTGTGGCCCTGGAAAAGTACCAGGAGGTGGGTGCCTGGGACAGGCAGGGGATGCCAGCTGCCAACAGATAAATGGAAAGGGGCTGAGGTGACTGCCTCCACTTCCCTAGGCATGCGAAAACGGCCGTGGGGCCATTCTGCTCTCAGTGGCTCGGGGCAAAGTGTCAGAAGGGATTGACTTTGGTGAGTGGACCTGCCCACCCTGCCATGGCTGCTCCCTTGGGGGAGCACTGAGCATGCAGAGGGTTCCTGTCCTGTCCCCTTTCCACACCATGGGGGCGACCCTAAGCATACCCTAGCACCAGCCCAGGATGCACTGTAACCCTGCTGTCCTGCCCCCAGTGCATCACTATGGGCGGGCTGTGATCATGTTTGGAGTCCCCTATGTCTACACCCAGAGCCGAATTCTCAAGGTGAGTTGGGGAGCAGTGGAGTCTGAAGGGGGGCATCATACATGGGAAAGGCTAGCTCCCTACCTTAGACTCCTCCCTCATCCCCCAGGCCCGACTAGAGTACCTGCGGGACCAGTTCCAGATCCGCGAGAATGACTTTCTCACCTTTGATGCCATGCGCCATGCAGCCCAGTGTGTGGGTCGTGCCATCAGGGGCAAAACAGACTATGGTCTCATGGTCTTTGCTGACAAGGTGGAGCTCAGGGCGCTTCTGGGCACCCCAGCCTAGCCAATCCCACTTCATCACAGGGACAGGGTGATGGGCAGCCTGGGTTCCAACTTGGGTTTGCTGTCCCCTCCCTCCTCACAGCGGTTTGCTCGGGCCGACAAGCGTGGGAAGCTGCCTCGATGGATCCAGGAGCACCTGACTGACTCTAACCTCAACCTGACGGTGGACGAGGGTGTGCAGGTCGCCAAGTACTTCCTGCGGCAGATGGCACAGCCCTTCCACAGGGTGAGCCCTTAGCCCCATGCCTCTTCTCCCTCCCAGGTGCATGTTTTTCCTAGTCACCTCAGGGACCCCATAGCCAGGAAGGGAGAGTGGTCAGCCTGGGGACACTGATGAGAGAGTCCTAGTGTCCTCTTCTTAGTGTAGCCATGCACTCCGGTCATGTTGATATGTGCAGTTTGACACCTGTCCTTTACCTCTGTTCCCTCAGGAAGATCAGCTGGGCCTGTCACTGCTCAGTCTGGAGCAGCTGCAGTCAGAGGAGACACTACAGCGGATCGAGCAGATCGCGCAGCAGCTCTGAGCACAGGACTGTGGGTGACACCCATGGCTCTGCAGGAGGTGCTGGAAGGTCCCAGGACCCTCAGGCGAATACCCAGACCAGTGTACAGCCTTTAATTACAGGGAGGATAGCAGGGTCCCGATCCACAGGTGCCACCAAGGCAGGGCACCAGATAACCACACCACCGGCCCGCCCTTCCCTGATTCCTGAGCAGCTGTGGCCACTGCAGCCAGTCCACTTAGCGCGGGCTCAAGTCCTCGGTGCTGGCGCTGAGGGTCCGAGAGGCCTCACTCAAGTGCCGGGTTGAGAGCTGGGGGCAGGCACAGGAGTGGTCAGAGTTCCTTTCCAACTGACACTGGGGCCACGTCATACCCCTACCCACTCACTCACCCCTATCTTGAGTCCCCAGGAGGAAGCTCCACCTTTCCTGTCTTGTTGAGCCTGCCCGCAGCACCCTGCTCTATCACTGGCCCCTCACCTGCGTCCTGGCAGCCCTTGGACCATCCACGTTCAGCATGTTGAGTGACATGGCTCTCTTCATCCTTCAGAGGAGGACGAGAGGACAAGAGTGAGTCAGGAAGGACTGCAGGGCCTTGGCTCTGACAGAGTCACAGACAGGCACCAGGAAGGTTGACAGGCTGCTGACCAAACCCAGCACTCACCCTGCAGCCCCTGCCAAGCCCTCCCTTCGGAGGCGGGAAACCAGCTTCTCACTACCCCGCCGGATGGACTCTCGGAACTTGGAGAAGGAGCTGCTTCTGCGCAGGACCTGAGGAGGACACAGTGACATGTGGGGACATGGTGGGCCCACCCAGACCAGGCCCACAAGGACCCAGGGTAGAGCCTGCGTACCTGCTGCTGTGCATCACCTGCTGTGCCTGCATGGGGGGCACCTGTGGAACAGGGACATGGTTAGTGGGGTAACAAGCGCCACACAGGAGGGTAGGCAGGAGCAGTGGGGTGGGCTCACCAAGTGGGGCAGGCAGGGCCTCCTGGCTGAGGATCTCCTTGTACAGCTCCTCTGCCTGCTGGTACTTGTTCTGTTTCAGGTAGGCTGAGGCCTGCGGGAAGGGCAGGGGCAGGGCGTGGGCATCTTGCTTAGGCCTGGGAACTTCTCAGACCTGCCCGCCTTCCCCAGCATCCTGCCTCAGCTGACTACAGAGCAGACACCATACCAGAACCGTCCCTGCTCCACCCTGTGCCTTGGTCCTCCTACCTCAGTGCGTGAAATGTTAGGGGCATCTGCTATGACAATAAAGCCTGACACAGGCTCCTGTGAACTGGGTTTCTCTCCTGTTTTTCTGTACTGAGGGACCTGCAGCAGTAGGAGGTCCCCTACCCACAGTGCTCCGTGGGCAGGACCCACCGATGCCTCACCAGGTTGCTCTTGGTCTTGGCCACGTTGGGGTCCTGCGGCCCCCCCAGGGCCTCGTAGATGCTCAGGGCCCGTGCGTAGTGCCGCTCCACGTCCTGGAACTTGCCCTGGTTCTGGCAGAGCAAGGCCAGGTTGTTGAGCTGCTTGGCCACATCAGGGTGGTCGGCACCGAGGACCTGGGATGCACACAAACCTTATCCGTCACATAGGGTGGCCCATGAGATGCCACAGGTTAGCATGGCAGGTGGGAGTGCTGCCATGTCAGAGGTCATGGGGTCTTAGAGTATAAGGTGGGTCAGGAGGTCAAATTCAGGATGGCACTTAAGCTCATCAGGGTGACAGATTGCAACGGTACTCTGGGCTCATATGGGAGAAACTGCCACCAAATGCATGGTGCACCAAGGGTTATGGCTTGTGGAACCAGTGACAGGGCAAAGGACTGGGTGCAGCACCTTCTCACGGATCTCCAGGGCACGCTGGCACAGGGGCTCTGCCTCCCGGTAACGTCCACGTTTCCCGTAGAGGACAGCCAGGTTGTTGAGGGTGGCGGCCACCTGCAGGGGGAGAGTTAGCCAAGGCAGAGGGCCCGTGCAGCCCCCCCTCCCAAGCCTGCCCTCCCTGAATTGCTGCTCACTGCAGGGTGTTCAGGCCCTAGCGTCTGCTCTCGGATTTGTAGGGCGTCGTGAAGAAGGTCCGTGGCTTCCTTGTACTTGTTCTGGTCCCTGCAGAACAGGGATTGAAGGCTGGGTTAAGTTGGGGTCACCAGCTGGACTGAGCCAGGACTGCCTGGCATCTTTCAGGGGACTCCTCGTCCTCCCACATGACTGGTTCCCACACTGTCTCACGTCCCTGGCTCGCCCTGGTATCCAGACTCTGAGTCTTGCCACCTCTCCAGATCTCTGTTCATTTTGTTATCCTGTGCCTTCCCCATTCTGTTCCCACTCAGATGCCTTGTCATAGGATCGTTCAGTGTACCCCACCACCGCAGATGGGGCCCCTCCAACAAGCCACAACCCTCACCTGTATACCAGTGCCAGGATGTTAAGCATAGTGGCCACGTCAGGGTGGCAGTGGCCTGAGCTTCGCTCCAGGTCCTCCAAGGCCTGACGACATAGTGGTACTGCCACCTCGTAGCGGCACTGGCTAGCGTACTGGATCACCAGGTTGTGCAGAGTCCTCAGGCGAGCTGGGATCTCATAACCACCCTGTTGCGCGGCTGCAGCTCCAGCTGCCTCGGGACCTGGGGGAGGTGGTGTGGAATCCCCCACTGCAGCCTCAGCCTGCACCCCACATTCACCTCAGCCTGCACCCCACTGCCACCTCTTGCACTAGGGCCTTGTGCAAGACATGGGGATTACAAGAATCTAACCGGCTGGTGGGATGTTAGGTGCCAGAACCGAACCTGCCTAACTTCCCAGCTTCCAACCTCCCTGCTAACTAGAGCCATCTGCTTCATCTTCCAGACCCTGCCCTCCCCTCCCCATGCCCTTCTCAGAGGCCTTGACATCCCTTAGGTCAAGGCTCCCGCCCCAGACTTAGCCTGTAGTCCTGGATGACTACCCTCTGATATTATGCCCAGGGCTCCCACACACCCACCTTTCCTTTCCTCCTCTTCACTGGGGAACAGAGAAGCCAGGCTGTCTCTGCGAGGGGGGGACTCGGGCCTCTGTGGGGAAGAGGAAAGAGTAGTTCCCAGAACAGCAAGTGTCAGTGCCCTGAAGCTACTTCAGGCTTGCCTGTGTAGCTCTGTTGTCTAGGGTAGGGGCTCACTGTAGACCAGGCTGACCTTGAACTCAAAGAGATGCACCTGCCTCTGCCTCCTGAATGCTGGGATTAAGGGCTTGCCACCATGCCAGTCTTCGGGAGAGTCTCACTATGTAGCCCAGGCTGACCTCAAACTCATAACATCCTCCCTCCAGCCTCAGCCACACTAGCTCTGAGTTTGACAGAGGTGTGGGCCAGGAGTCTTAGAGACTACATTTGAGGTGGGGAAGACACAGGATTTTATGGGAGCATTGAGGGGACTTTGGAAGCTCAAAAGGGTGTGCGGATTTGGGGATTCCACATGTATGTGAAGGGTTATGGGGTACTAAGAAAGGCCTGAGGGTCTCCAGGGGTTCTGGGAAGGGCTGTGTGCCCCCTCCTCACCCACCCCTGGTACCTGGCTCTCCTCGGGTGGGTCATACTGCCGCAGCTGACCCAGGAACTGGAGATGGCTCTTCTCCTCCTCCAGCTGGGCCACAGCCTCCTCACTGGCCCGTAGTCGCCTCTGTGTCTCCTCTAGCTCCTCTCGAAGCCATGTGTTCTCTTGGGCTAGCCTCCGCGCCTGCGCACGCAGCCTCTGCTTCTCGGCCTCTAGCACACCCACATGTGCGGACAGGGCCAGCAGCACCTGCGAAGCACTGGGTTCATGAGGAGGAGTGGGTGCAGGGTGCGTCCCTGTACAGCCCCACCCCAGCCCAGGCTTCACATCAGGCCAGACACACTCATTCTACACAGCTTCCCCAGATTCTGAAGACAACCCCTGATTTCAATCCAGTTATGCATAGGGTTAATTCCTGTTCTGCCTATTTAACCCAGCGCCTGCCTAAAATTCATCTGTAAATAACAGGGACATAATTCAGTGGTAGAACCCCTGCCTAGAATCCCCCAGTGAGGGGCTGGGGTGTGGCTCAGTGGAAGAGCCTCTGCCTAGAATCCCCCAGTGAGGAACTGGGGGTGTGGCTTGGTTATAGAGCCCCTGCCTACCATGAGTGAAACTCAGGGTTCCATTCATAATGGAAACCCCAAACTCCCTCCAGGACCAAGTTCTACAGGAGAACCACATATGGCACACACTAAAATCTCATTCCTAATGCTTGCCAGGGAAGCAATCTGACCTGCAGTCCCTCCTTGGAGGCCTGGCTCCTCCAGACCTCCTACTACCTATACTTACTCCCCTGCATTATGATCCCTCATCCCTGGACCTCCCCCACCAGGGCTGACCATACATACACACATACAGAAAGAGAGAGACAGACAGACAGACACTTCTTATCCCTGGGCCTCCCCAACCAGGCCTGACCCTATATACACATACACACAGAGAAAGAGAGACAGACAGACAGACAGACTTCTGATCTGTCTCATCCTGAGCCTCCCCACCAGGCCACACACACACACACACCCCTCATCATCCCTGGTCCTTCTCTCTCTTGAGCCCCTCGTGGTCCCACATACCTGGGCCTCGCCCAGCCCCAGCTCGATGGCCTCCAGCGAGTGGTTCACGACCTGTTGCTTCTCCTCCAGCAGCTCCCCTCCAGCCACAGGGCCCGGTCCAGCCAGAGCCTCCGCCAAGTGCCCAGCTAGACTGTAGTGCTCAGCCCGCAGGGCCTCCAGCCCCTGTACAACCTGTCGCGTCTGCCGCACCAGTTCCTCGGGGTTCAGGCGCTCTGGGCCCAGCCCTGTGCTTCCGGGGGCTGCCACCTGCACAGACATGGCTGCTCCTGGGGGCGGTGAGGTTGAGGGAGTCACCGTCTGAGCCACACAGACTCACAGCTTCTCTTTGGTCCAGCCATCCCCCTGCCCACCCATCCTGGCTAGCTCCCTGTCCCTGAGCCCTTTCCACCCCAGGCAGTCTTCGTTGGGGAACATTCTCCTCTACCTTTGCAAACCCAGGGCTCTACCCTGAGGACAACTCTAAACTGAGCCTAATTAGCTAAGAATACTAACAGCTCTTTCCCAGTGCCCCCTCCACCCCGCCTCACTCCGCTCACCTGGCCCGGCCCCCCACCCAGGTCCCCAGACACCCTAGCTCAGAGCTCCCAGCCTGCTAAGCGCCCTGGGCCCGGAGGCGCCACCTCTGTCAGGCTGGGGGGCGGGGCATGTGGAGGCGGCAGGCTCCTGGTGAGCTCATTCTTAGGGTGTTTTTGTCAGGAACCAGTCAGGCCACTGGGGGGGGGGGTAGAGGGGAGGGATGAGGGATGGAGCCCTGAAAGCAGAGAAGTAGAGCATAGAGCCTGGAGGTGGGGTGGGGGTGTCTAAGAGAACCTGAAAGTTCGCTCCTGAGCTCGGCAAGACCTTGAGGGACCAGGACCAGGGTCCCAACCACAGCAGCCAAGTTCCACAGCGCAGGGGTGGATGGGACACACCTATGATAGCCATGGCTCACTGATGGCAGTGGCCATGTGACACCTCGGCTGCTTAAGGGGTGAGGGGTCACCAAGTGAGGTTTTGTGTGTGTATATGCCGGAAACCGAGTCAGGGGCAGAGACGGTGAATCTCACAGACACACACTTCTCAAACACACGTCAGCAAACACAAAACCCCTTTCTCATCCCTATTTGTTTGTTTGTTTGTTTGTTTGCTTGTTTGTTTTTAGGCAGGGTCTCACTATGTACCCCAGACTAGGCTAGAACTCACAGAAACCCATCCTTCCTGTCTCCAGAGGCCAGGATTAGAGGGATGTGCCACCACACCTAGCCTTTTTTTTTTTTTTTTTTAATTTTTTAAGGTGGGGTCTTATGTGCCCAGACTGGTCTTGACTTTGTTATAAAATTGAAGATGACCTTAAACAACATGAACCACCACACTTCACGTATGGGGTCCTGGGGATGAACCAGGTCCCAGACATGCTATGCACGCCCAGGGAGGGCATGCTAGGCAAGCATTCTAATCAACCAAGTCCCATCCTAGGTCCTTCTTAAAGACACAGTGGCAGACAGACTCCCATCTCAAACACAGCTCAATCAATGCACGCTCCCTTTTCACACGCCCACACGCCCTCTCTAAACAAACACGCCAACATGTATTACCTCATTAGAAAGACAACACAGGAAAAGGAACAACGGGAGAGAAATACAGCAAAATATACATTCCCATCTTAGAAAACACACCACACTTTCTCCTTTTTGGAACACAGCTCAGAGTCGGGCACGGCAGCACACACCCCTAAGTCTGGCACTAGAGGCTGAGGGAGGAGGATCCTAGGCTGAGAACCCATGAACTCTGTTTTTAAAAAAGAAAAAATCGGAACTGGAGCGATGACTCAGGGGTTAAGAGCACAGCCACCTCTAGTGGGCCCTGATACCCACTTCTGCCATAAATGCAAACATGAGCACTCATATACATGAAATAAATAAAATCTTTAAAAAAAAGAAAGAAAAACTAGAGAGATGGCTCAGTGGTTACCAGCCCTTGTTGCTCTTGCAGAGGACCTGCACCCATACGGCATACGGTGGCTCCCAACCTGTACACCTGGCCTCCATGGGCATTGCACACATTTGGACATATGGTACACATGCATGCATGCAGAAAAATACTCATGTACATAAAATAAAAATAAATCTTAAAAGAAAAGGTGGATGTTGGGGACACAGCTAGTATAGCCAAGGCCCTGGCTTCCATCCCTTGTACCAAAAGGGAAAAAAAAAGTTGAGAGACGGGCATGTGTTGCAGACCTGAGATCTGGGCTCTCCAGAGGCAGAAGGTCAAGAGTTCAAAGCCATCTTTGGTTAAACCTTCCTGCCTCCACCTCCCAAGGGCTGGTTACAGGCAGACAGCACCAATCTAGGGCTCTGTTTTTAAACAGGGTCTCAGGCGGTTCAAGATGTCCTCAAAGTTACTATGTACTCAGGCTGGCCTCATTCCAGAAGCAATCCTGTCTTCACATCACAATGGCTAAGATGAGAGGTGTGTCTCAAGTTCTGACTATCCTGGACCGTGCTCTGTAGACCAGGCTCGCCTCAGACTCACAGAAATCCTCCTGCCTCTGCCTTCTGAGTGCTGGGATTAAAGGCGTGCACCACCACCGCCTGGTTTAAGGCACATAATTTTAAGAGCGATAATCCTCCGACTGAGTCCCCACCCTGACCCCAGTTTCCTCTGGTGATCCTGGTGCTGCCAAAAACAGCCTCTTCCATGTCTCAGCCTCGCAAGCAGCTCATGCTGGAGAATTCGCCCAGAAAGATCAAACTTTAAACGTAAACGAGTGTAGTTTCTACTCAGTGGGTGTCATTTTCAAACGTTTGTCAAAATCCTAATTCTAAAAGTTCGAGGCCAGCCTGGTCCACAGAGCTACTTCCAGGACAGCCAGGGCTACACAAAGAAACCCTGTCTCGAAAAACCAAAACAAACAAAAGATATCACAGGTGTGTGTGGAACCCATGTAGGTGCATCCTCCAAAGCCACAGAAGTGGTCAGTCTCTGTGGCCCCCAGCATGGCCAGTGTCACACTTCTCATCCCATGGCACAATCTCAAGCCCAGCTGAGTCCAAAACCCAGACGCAGCCTCCCCTACACCACAGCCAGATACCCACCCAACAACCACAGGGACAGCCGCAGCTTAGCCACAGCCATCTGCCACTCCGGCTGTCCCCAGGACTCCCAGGTGCACCACAGACAGTCTTAACACAAGTGCAGAACCAGCCCAGTGATAACCACGGCCAGCCTTCCATGAGCCATTGCCCCACAGAGGAGCATTGCACACACACACACACACTCCACAGCCACAAGTGAGCTTTCGGCTGCACTCCTGCTGGTCCATAAAGCAGGCAGCAGCATGCACACGCATGCACACACCACCTATGCAAACCCCAACTTGCAGACACAATCGCACGCATGCCCCCACACCTCTGTATCAGGGACACACAACCAGAGTGACAACAGTCAGTCTGTGACAGTCACATATCACTGACACAATTCCACACACTCCATCCCCACCACCACGCAACACCTTGATCCAACACCATAAGAGATTCGCTCCCTGCCACATGCATAAATCATCCACAAGTACCGAGCTGACCACAGACTCAGCATCACAGTCACACACGCTAAGGAGTGTGTACAGTCCACACCTAACACACATAGGATAGACACACAATCAGGGTCACCCACATTCACTCTGTCTGTCCCCAACATCGGATGGCATAGTAGCTCATCTCCCTTTTACACTTGTATCCACAATCTGACTCTCTTCCTTATTAAAAAATTATATATAATTTGGGCAGTGGTGGCATGCGGCTTTAACCCCAGCATTTGGGTTAAAGAGAGTTCCAGGACAGCCAGGGCTATGCAGAGAAACCCTGTCTCAAAAAACAACAACAACAAAAATATTTATATTTATATGTATAGTCAGGGTCTCTCTATGCCCCCCTCGCTGGCCTGGGATTGACTGTGTAGCCCAGGTTGGCCTTGAGCCCAGAGATCCACCAGTCTCAGCTTAGGAGTGTTATGATTAAAGTCAAAAGACAACTTCTGGGATTCGGTTGCCTTGTGAGCATCATGATGCCTGGTCTTTAACACTTTCTTCCTTTGCATACTTTTTGTGTGTACAGACGTGCATGGAACATCAGAGGACAACTTGCAACTTGAGGGAGTCAGTTCTTTCCTCCCATCTTGTAAATCTTGGGGATCAAATTCAAGAAGTCAGGCGTGGCAGCAAGCACCTTTACCCGCTGAGCCATCTTGCTGGCCCTCTTTCCTTTTCTTTTTCCTCTCTCTTTGACATTGATACCCACAATCTGTCCTTCTGTCTCTCTCTCTCTCTCTTCAGAAAGGGCCTCACTACGTAGCCCAGACTGGCCTTCAACTTCGCTCCTCCAGCCTCAGTTTCTCCAGTTCGCCATGCTTGCCTGACACACTCTTTTGCACACGCCGCGGAGGGTCCCTTACCATGCATGTCTTGCACTCGCAGGCTGCAGCCGGAGACCCTCTGACAGCCCGGCGACCCTCCGATAGCCCGGCCAGCTCCTCCCCACTGCTGCGGGGACCCCGAACCCGACTCCGCGTCACAAGGCCCCGCCCCGCCCCCAGCTGTTTTTCTAGCCGGCTGGTCGGGGCGGGGCGGGGCCCTCAGGGACCCCGAAACTCATCCCCGACGCCAGGCCCGCAGCCCCCTCTCCATCCCCGCGGCCCCCTCAGGGACCCCGCAGCGACTGCCGCCGATCCCTCGCACCCACCTGGTGGCTGCAGATCCGAACCGCCTCGCTGCACGGAAACACCGCTGCTCCCGCAGCGCCGCCGCCGCCGGTCCCGGCGACTCTTCGGGAGGGCGGGCCAGGAAGAGGCCACGCCCACACAGGTGCGCTGGTCACGCCCGCCGCCGCACACTGAGAGACAGCACTTTCCAAACTTTATTTGGGGACTGCGAGAGGGCTCAGGCGGTATAGGTGCTTGCCACCAAGCCTGAGGACCTGAGTTCGATCCCTGGGACCTTCAGGATGGAAGACGACCCAGGAGTTGTCTTTTGACTTCCCCGTGTGTACAATCGTACATGCACGCATACGAAATAAATACATAAAAATGTAATTTATTTATATATTTGAAGAGTTGAAGAGATGGCTCAGCAGGCGAGAGCACTGAGCACTTGTTGCTCTGGCAGGGGATCCGTGCTCGATTCCCAGCACCCTCATGACGGCTCAAAGCCATCAACGACTCCAGTTCCAACCTCTTCCAGGGCCTCCACAGGCATAGCAAACACACGATGCACAGAGGTGCGGGCAAAACACCCAATAAAGATAGCATCTCCAAAAATATTGTTTTCATAATTACAACTTCAGAACTTGGTAAAGGACCTGGCTGCCATGCTCGACAACCTAGTGTTAATCTCCAAGACCCACATGGGGCAAGGAGAGAACCGACTCCCGGAAGTTTTTCTCTG